ACTTTAGGTTGTGTGGGCTGTGTGGGCAGTGAGCATGAAGGGGGTCCAGATATCACCTCTTGGACCAGAAGCCCGCAGGGAGGGCCTCAATATGGCACCTTCCCAGTCCCTCATCCACTCACAATCCCACAGGCATGAACAATGTCCAAGCTGAAAGGAGCTTTGGAGAGCATCTAAGTCGACCTGCTCTTTTTATTATTGATTGGTTGATTGATAGGGGGGGGGGCACACAGTGGTGCTCTGGACTTAACATCTGGCTCTGCACTCAGGGATCACTCCTGGCAGCGCTTGGGGGCCATATGGGATTCCCGGGATCAACCCTAGGTTGACTGCTGCAAGGCAAGCACCCTACCCACTGTACTATTGTTCCTGCCCCTGACCTGCTCTAACAGACAGGCCCAAAGGCCTGAGATCTCACTCATTCTGTCAAGATCACACAGCAACAGAGCCAGGAGCAAGGAGAAGACAGGCCTTGGGACGGAGTCCAGATAATTTACCACCAAGAGCAACATTGCCCACTTTCCTCAGAGCTCTGGACAGGCCACTGGACCATCCTGGTCTCTGGCCCTGGGGCGGTCCTCCCTTGCATCCTACCACCAAGTCAGGTTCTTCATCTCTGGCTCAAAATCCAGATATCTCTCCAGGAAGCCTTGCGGGACTGATTTTCCACACTACTTCATTCCCTCTTTCCTTCATTCCGGGGAAGAGGCTGGTTCCTGAATCCCACTGCCCAGTTTTAAATCCTTTCTCCATACACTGGGGCAAGACCTGAGATCTTGCTCAGAAGCTGCAGCAGAAGGCTGGCTAGGGAGGACAGGCAGCGATGAGTTTCCAAGGAGATGCTTGAAACTGAGTTTCCAAGGGCAAATGTATGTGAATAAGGTGGAAGAAAGGACCAGGATTCCAGGAAGCATGGGTCAAACCTGGGAGGCAGGACACAGCACAGCAAAATTAAGGAACCTCAGCTCTTAGGCACGGCTGAAGCCACAGTGGGAAACAGAGGTGTGGAGAGATCCAGAAAGTTACCCAGTGCTGGGTCCACCAGCCTTCAAATGACATGAGTTTGGGAGCACGATGGAGTGATAGGGTGCTTGCCTTGCATGCAGATGACCCAAGTTTGATCCCTGACATCACATATGGTTCCTAGGAGGAGCACAGAGTCAGGAGTAATCTCTGGGCACTACCAGGTGTGGCTACCCTGTCCCCCACAAAATGCAATGAGAGTGCCAGGAGCTGAGGGAGTTGCAGGTGGGCTTTAAGCAGAGGAGGGTCATGGTCAGGCTGGTATTTTAAATGGATCATTCAAGGCTCTGTGACTGTGATCTCTTAGCCCATCTTTGGGTCTGGATGGCTTTTTTTTTTTTTGAATGGTCAGGGAATCTACTCTAAAGCCTGGCTTCTAAAGCTAGGATGAGACCTAATGCATCAGGGGTCACATAACTAAATGTTGGGGGTCATAAGTCACCTGACAACAGTGAAGTTTCTGAACACAAAATGACCAAGAATGAATTCAAAATCAAGCGCAGTGAGTTCAAGGTGCCTTTGGAAGCAGTGGTCCAAGTTGCGAACTGCATAGAAACCCTGTTCTGAAGAGGCCAGTTTCCTCCCAGACCACTCCTGGGAACCACAAATATCCTCAACTCCTGGGAGTCACTACAGCCATCCTATGAGAGACATTTAAATATACAACTGTGGGGCTGGAGTCATAGTATAGCTGCAGGGCACTTGCTTTGCATATAATCAACCTGGGTTCGAGCCTCAGCTTCCCATATGTTTTCCCCAGCCCTACCAGGAGTGATCCTGAGTGCAGAGCCAGGAGTAAGTCCTGAGCACTGCCGGAGAAACAAACAACAAAAATCAACAGTGGTGGAGTCTGGAGATGACCACAGCAGAGCACCTACCTGGTGGGCCTGGGGCCCCACATGCCGTGTGATACAGGTGGCACTGCTATTTGGATCTGCAACAGGAGTGTGGCTTCCTGGGACCAGAGCTATGGTACAGCGACCAAGGAGCCTGCCTTGCACATGGTCAACCCAGACTGGATCCCCAGCATCCCATATGATTTCCCGAGACTGGCCAGAAGTAATTCCTGAGCACAGAGCCAGGAGTGAGCTTTGAACACCACCAGGTGTGGATTCTGGCACAATATAACGAAGTCAGAACAATCACCCTAACTGAAGTGTGTGAGTCCCAATGAACACCCAAACCGAATGTGTGACCACTGATTACCCCAACAGTTAAGGAGTTAAATAACATAAGCAACTCCAAGGCCTTGGACAATAGGGTTGGGTCACTTTATCTTCAGGGACAGTGTACACATTAAGCAAATGCATTACAAAGGCCTGGGTGCCCATCCATGACACCAAACTTGGCAGGCTCTTCCTTGGAACATTCCAGAGGCTGTGGGATCATCGGCACAATTGGACTTAAGCCTTCCCAGCAGGCGTAGGCCTGCACACAGTGTTGGGATGAACAGGTCATCGTCATCGTGTTGTTTGCACTTTGTATTCTGAATTGGGATTCCAGAGAATTGCCTTCCTGCCTCTTTCCCCCCCAATACCCTGGGAAGCCTCACTGCTTTCACCTGTTTTCGGAGACCAGGGTGACTGCTGATTCTCAAGGTGTTGACTGGCTGGTGAAAATGTGGGTGTCTTGACACTCAAGTTACCTCTTGGACTGCATCCCTCCTTGGCCTCTCGGGCAGGACAGGATAAATAGCAAAGAAAGGGTTAGAAAGTGGGTAAGGTGGCTGCCTTATATGCAGCCAAACTGGGTTCAAGCCCCAGCAAACCATAGAGTCCTCTGAGCACCATCAGGAGTGATCACTGAGCACTGCTGGATGTGACCCAGAAACAAACCCAAGGGGGAAGTGGATTAAAAAAAAAAGGCAAAGAAAATCAAGCAATTTATTACAATTATTTGAAACCACCATTTTTGTTTTTGAGGCACACCTGGCTGTGCTCAGGGCTTACTCCTGACTCTATGCCCAGAGATCACTCCTGATGGGACATGGGGGACCACATGGGATGACGGGCATCAAGTGTGTCGCATGCAGATAGGCGTCCTACCCACTGTACTATTGCTCTAGTCCTCTGTAATTGTAACTTAAAAATATTAGGGAGGGGCTGGAGTGATAGCAGAGGGTAGGGAACTTGACTTGCACACAGCTGACCCAAATTTAACCCCCAGCACACTATATGGAACCCCCGCACTTCCACTCCCAACAGATCAGAGTGTAGAGCCAGGAGTAAGCCCTGAGTACCACCAGGTGTGGCTCCCCAAAATACCAAAACATGAAAATTAAATTTAGGGGCTGGAGAGATAGTGGGAAAGACGCTTGTTTTGCATGTAGCTGAACCTGGTTTGGGTCCCTGCATCACATATGGTCCCAGAGCACCTCCAGGGAGGATTTCTGAGTGCAGAGCCAGGAGTGATCTGGGCCAGGTGTGGCCCCAAAACCAAAAAGATTTTAACACCCTGATTCCAAGGTTGCAATTTGTGTTAAAATCACATCCAACATCCAAGTGTAAGTCACAAGTGCTATGTGTTGGCATCCATGTGTTTAAGAAAAAAATGCCTATACACAATTCAGAGTGAACTGTTGGTGATGCGTAGGTATTATGCAACCCCACAGGACCATACTATCCTCACTTGTAAACCTTGGGACTGGAGAGACAGCACAATAGACAGGGTGCAGGCGTTGCACACAGGAGACCTGGAATCCATTCCTGGGACCACAGGGTCCTCTGAGCACCCCAAGAGCAATACCTGAGAGACAAGCCTAGAATAGCCCCTGAGCATTTATGAATTGTGGCCCAATCTATGTAGGACAAGCACCATTACAAAGTGCCCAGCCCAGACATCAAAATATCATAAGTTATGCAAGATGATCCTTACCTAGCACTGTCTGCTAGGTTCAATGGGGCTAAGCTGAAGGGTGATTTAGCTCAGAAGTGAACTTTAGAATAATCCAAATTAGCTCAGAGCGTCCTCCATCCCCTTTTCCATCACCTATGGCCAGCAAGTCTGGTCCAATCTACTCCCTGTGGGTGAGGCCCAGGTGAACAGGCTGGCACTGAGGAAGGTCCCTCCAAAGCCAATCTACCTCCCCACCTGTGAGGAGGGACATCGAGACTTTGAGGCAGGCTGGAAGGCAAGTTGGGCAGGGGTTGGCCCTACCTTCTTCTCAATCACGTCAGTCAAGTTTACTAAAAATCTGCATGTCTTGGAGTAAGCAATACTGCTTGGCAAGTGCAGAAACCATCCAGGGGGACCCAGGAGAAGCAGGAGCAATCAGGGGGTGTTGTTTGCCCACTGAAGCCATGTAGGCTTCCCAGGAGGGGGGCTGAGTAATTCCTTCTGAAAAGGGGTGATGATACAAATGAAATCTGAGGACATCTGACCAGCCCCCAGGACTGAGCTCAGATAGATGGCACTGAGCCCCTAGCCAGCACCTTCGCCCACCCCAAACCTGAGTGTTCTGCCAGTGGCCATGCCCCCGCACCACCCCCTCTCCGCGCCTCACAGGCAGGGCAGGGCTGGGAGGGTGCTCATCTCCTGGTCCTCCACAGGCTGCCTCCTCCACTAACCAAAGGGGCAAGTTATCTGTGGGGTGTTCCCAGGCGCACTGCCTGGCAAGAAGAATCTGGAGCCTTCCAAACACCCTGCAGTTGAATCTAGAGTTTTGAAAACAGCCTGCAAAGCAGGTCTACTTCCTGTCTGGAAGGAGCCACCTGGCATCACCTCACTCTGAAACCAAGACTGATACTCACTGAGGGCTCCCCACCCTCCCCTCTCCACAGAGAATCCCTAGGACGGTGGACACTGCCAGAACCAGTCTCAGTCAGGCCCCGCATGGGCTGCCTCCCCTGGAGGCCGGGCCTCAACAAGTTGCACGGCAGAGGAAAGACACGTCACAGCTAGGGGACGGCGATTCTACCGCAGGCCGCTTTGGCCAAAACCCAGCTCAGGCTGACCCAGCACCAGGCTACAACTTGGCTGTGACATTCTTTATTTGTGCTCTGAGTGCTGACACAGCATAGAACGGTGACAGCCCCCACCCAGGATGGGGACGAAGTGCTGAAGCTGGGGCGCTCAGTGGTGTGTGCACGCGTCCACAGGGTGCTCAGAGGCTGGGAGATCTGTCCACTCCATGCTCCAACTCCAGGACAGTGCGGGTGACTGGTCAGGGACGCACCGACACCCATAGGCTCCTTAGGCAGGCCCATTGCTCAGACATGGGCTGCCTAGAGAAGCGGAATACAAGGTGCAGGGCGGCAGAGCGGGGATCCAGGACCGCCGCTGCCACTAGCCTTTCTGGCTCCCCTTAGGCAGGGAAACCCAGAGGGCCTCAGCTCGGGCGCAGGAGTTCGATTCAGGCCAGGGTATGTTCTGAAGCCTCCGCTCCCGTCGGCCAAACACAGCAGGCCATTACAGCACCCCCGATCCCACTGGCCCCGGAGACGCTCTTCACACGGCTGGTGGGAACACCCTCTGCAGGCGTGCACATGGAGGAAGTAAGCTGGCGGGGAAGGCTGCAAAGAACACGTCCAGCCTGACCCTGTTTTCCTAAAGACGATGGCAGAGTCCCAGAGCCCCTCGGGACAGGGTTGGCAATCACTTGCAAGGTCAAGGCTGCAGAAACACACCAATCTCTGGGAGGGCAGACCACACGGGCCCAGAAACATGGAGGCGCTGGGGCTCCAGCGAGGAAGCAGGTACACTCCGTCACAGGCCCGCCTGGGGGCCACCCCCCACTGCCCGGGGTGCCTGAGGTTAGAAAGGCAGCATCTTGCTGGTGGAGGCCCGAGGTCTGGGTGTCCCCCCACCCCTGGACAGAGCAGCTGCCCCAACTGCTGTTCTAAAGGCCTGGACCCCCCGGCCCTGGGAGGAGGGTGGGGGCTCCCTGCTGTGTCCAGCCGTTAGCTGTTGTACAAGGGGACGACCCGGGTGATGTCCTGCCTGCAGATAGGGCAGCGCTTGGGCTCCGGCAGGGCACGGTAGCACTCGGCGCAGGAGCAGACGTGCCCGCACTCCAGGAAGACACAGGCCTTGAAGTTGCTCAGGCACACGACACAGGCGCTCTTCAGACTCTCCCGCTCCTCGGGCGCTGCCCGGCTCAGCAGCTGGGCCTCGTGCTCCCGGAACTCCTCCTCCATCTGCTTGAGGCGCAGGCGCTCCTGCCGCTGCAGGTACTGCTTCCGGAGGATGAAGAAGAGGACGGCGCAGGTGGCGAGGCCGAAGCCCAGGGTGAGGACCTTCCAGAGGCGGACGCTGGACTCCTGCTTCTGCAGCAGGCTGTCGAAGTCCTGGCTGCTGAGGTAGTACTGCATGCCCTGCTTGGGGGGCTGCAGGCGGACGGAGTTGTTGTCCAGCACCAGCTCGCCCACCCCCGTGAGGGTGGCCCCCACCTTCAGCATCTCCTCTGTCTCCTGGATGCCCTTGGGTCTCTCTCCGCTGATGTAGTGGCCGATGACATCGGTGAAGGACTGGATGGAGGGGTGGAACTTCTCGTACACAGTTTCCAGGCCCAGATCCAGCGAGTCGAGGGGCTTGAGCACGCGCACGGACATGCCCACTCCATCTTCGTAGGGCACCAGGTCAAAGGGCACTGTGTTGGTTCTCTGGTGAATGATCTTCGAACAGTCATTCCTACAACGGGAAGAGAACTCAGGTAAACCCGGGCAGCCCGCACCTCAGACCTGGGCAGAGGCGAGGGCATCAAGCGTGAAGTGACGGGAAGCACACACGGGAAATATGGGGTTCCGGCACATGGAAATGCAGATTCTCACGCACGGCCAGGGGCAATGAGGCATCACAGCCAGCCCCTACCCTTTGGTTTCCTTTGCCACTTTAAAAAGAAGACGCCATGCCACAGAAAGTTAAAAATAGAATGACCACAATCCCACTTCTGGGCAGCATCCAGAACCTGTCGTCTGCAATCAAGAGAGCTGTAGGCAGGGCCCCCCGCCTTTGCAAAGTCCCATTCACTCAACTTCACTTTCATAAAAGACCCACCTTCCTTCACTTACTAAGATAGATGCAAAGGGGCTTCTGCTTTTATGATGAAAGGGAAGAAACCAAAAGCACTCAGCGTTAGTTTTGCAGTGCCCTGGATGCAGCACATGCCCTGAGCGGAGTGGCCCCCATGCTCCTTCCAAGAACCTGAAGGTGCACCTCTTGGCAATCTACTCTCCTGCTCTTTGTAGAAGCTGCAAAAATTTTCCTTTTACAAGGCCCTCTAACAGCAAAAACAGATTACGGCTTATCAAAAGCTCAGATAATAATATATTTTTAGCAATCAAGTCTTGGGGAGAGGAGTGGTTGGAGGAAGGAGGCTCAAAGCAGTGCTCCGGAGCCCAGGGGCCAGTCCCACACACACTTGCCCAGCCATGTTGGATAGTTTAATGCTAAGGCCCCAGGACGCAGAGCTACTTGGGTCTTGCAATACCAAGGATCACCAAGGCCACCCCAGGAATAATCAGGGAGTCACGTGGTGCTAGGGTTCAAACTTAGCCCCACTGCATGCAAAGCAAGGACCTCTGACCACTGGGTATCTCCCCCGCACCACAAAATCTAAAGTATTTTAAATCACTGTGCTTCAAGACAGTGCTACTGCACACAGAACAGACTCCGGTAAGCATTCTACAGTGCAAATGTGACCTTAGCATGCACAAGGAAACAGAAGAACGACTCTCCTCAGTGTCGTATTTACTTTGTGGCAGTGCCTAGAGACCCAACAGGCTCCAGAGAAGGCACATCCTGTCATTCCTGCACCTACTGCACATGAGCGTTATTACACTGTACCTACGTTTGCTGCGCTTTTTGGTATAAGGTGGCGGGGAACTTCTTGGGTCTGGGAATGCTCAAAATTTCCCCTCATTCGTTATTGGCAGCTGCACCATCATATTTTGGTTTGCAAAAAGCTTCCTAGGAACACTCCACTTTTAGACAGCTCGGGAAACCTGCAGCCTGGGCTCACTGCAGACTTCCTCCCCACAGCCATGACACGGGAGCAACCAGTGTTCACCAACAGATGAAGAAAAGAAAACTGAGATCTGACTTACATGTACATGGAATATTCCTCATTCATGAAAAAGGAACTCCTGCCAGATGAGACAAAGGCCATCAGCGATGGATAAAAACTGTGTCATTCTGCATAAGCAGAAGGCACTGAAAATAGCAGATTCACAGAAACAAAATAGAGCAATGGTGGCCAGTGCTGCAGGAAGAGAAAATGGGCGCGGCTGGCCAATGAGAAGGTTTCAACTCTACTAGATAAAAAGATGGTATCTCTACAACATGGCACCAAACTAATAAATACCAAATTATTAATCCAGGCCACAATTCTCAAACTTTAGTGAACAAGTATGGACAGATTCTGCCCCCAAGCTGGGGACTCTCAGTTTAGTGGGTCTGTAATGAAGCCCAAGATCTGAGTCAGATGCAGAGCAACTCAGATCACACACAAGAATCTTGTTAGCATTAGGGGACTGGTCTCCTCCCAGTCTCGGGAGAAAGGAAGCCAAGGAAACCGTATGCAAGACTCAGCATCTAAAAGGATCATGTGTGAGGTTTGGGGCCAATACGTACCAAAGGTGGGTTGTTCGATTCCACACCATCTTGTGTTCCTGAAGCGTCAGCCTCTGAATCACCCCCTTGCAATTTTCCACAAACTGGCTGTTAAGAGTTTCTTTAACAGATCTAACAGCTCCTGAATGGAAATAAATCATTGGAACTCTGAATAACAATTCGGCACTGTCATTTAAAGTAGTTTAAATTTTAGTTTTTGGGAAAAAGTATCTTTTTACTTTGGTTTGGGTTAGTTTACCTCTGGTTTTGTTTTTATTTTGTTTTCTTTGGGGGGAGGGGCTATACTGGAGGGTGCTTAGGGATCACTCCTGGAGGCTCTTGGAGTTACATATGGGGTTATATGAGGTGCCAGGGGTAGAATCCGGTAGGCCATGTGCAAAGCAAGTGTCCTATCTACTGTATTATCTCTCTGGATTTTTTTTTTTGTGGGGTTTTTCTTTTTCTTTTCTTTTTTTGTAGTTTAGTTACTTCTGTGACATTATCACTCTGCGTTTTGTGAGCACTATGCCAGGCACTTTACATGGACCACATCATCCCAGTTTTACAACGACCTGTAAAATAGGAATTTTAGAGATGGGTGAACAGATGGGGCAATTTCCCCAAAGATCATATAGTAATAACATGGGACTCTCTGACCTCTAGTTCTAATCCTTTGTCCCAAGGCTTCAGGTTCTTTTGTTGTTGTTTTTTGAACCACATCCAGTGGTGCTCAGGACTTACTCCTGCCTGGCACTCAGGTATCACTCCCAGCAAGGTTTGGGGAAACATATGGGATGCCAGGGATAGAACCCAGGTCAACATGTAAGGCAATTGCTTTACCTGCTGTATTATCTCTTTAGCCCCTTCAGAAGATGATCAAGATGATCGTTATCAAAATTTAGAAGAGAATAATTTTTTATTTTATCAATATTCAAACATACCTTCAATAACAGCATAAGGCACACATTTTCCTGGCGCTTCTGAAAGAATGCTCTTTAAATCTTCACCCAAGTGGATTCTTTTAGCTCCCTGAAAGCAAACAACTTCTGATTACTGACATATTCAATCAAATCTAAAGGGAAAGACCACTACTTTTCTCACATTGATAGAATAAAGAAATCTGGCAGGAAGAGGAAGATGGGATAGCAGATTCCAAGGCTGTGTCTAGAAGTTTCCATATAAAAGGCAGTGATAGCACCTTGCTCTCTTTCATATAAAATCAGGGGATACCATGTACATTCTCCAGTTAACTGAAACATAAACACCTTGTCCTGCTAAAGAAAACAGCTCTTCAAGCCCATGTTTTCCTTTAAGCATGATCTCTCTTGCTTGTTTCTAGGTATCTTTGCTTACTTCCACTCTGGAGAAGCCTGTGTTCTCTCTTGAACACATTTCCCCTCTTTCTTCCTGCTTACATCTTTCTAAGCAAGTTTAAGTCAATAAAAACAACCTTGTTTCACTTAAAAAAAAATCCTGGAGATACTAGCCAATGTTGTATCAAAGACTTAGTATAACTTAACCTCTTCTTGACAATACAAAGTCATGCATACAAAGGGTTTATGTGGAAAGCATCCGGATTATTGCCTGCTGGATAGGAGGAGTGAAACACCAGCTACTTATCACCATGAATTCATCAACACATGCACTACGAGGCAGGTGGGGATCAAACCCAGGCCTCCAGCAAGCAAAAAGGGATCTCTCTGCTCTATAGGGCAAATCTCTGTTAAATGGAATCAAACATTATTCTACTTATTCTCCCCCCTTAGAACCAAGTGAGCCCTGGAGACTGTCGCAAGCTCCCTCTAACAGTCCCTGGCTTCCCAGCCCTTCCGATTCAGTTTCCAATCGGCTGCATGAAAACAAGAGAACACTTAATAAAATCAGCAAACACTTCCTGTTCATCTACAAGTCAGGCACTGTGCTGGGCATTATGAACACAGGGGTGAAGGACAGTGCCCTTTTTCAGAACACTTCTACCTACAAATCTTTTGTTTTGGGCCACACTTACCTGTACTCAGGGGCTACTCCCCAATCTGCACACGAATCGCTACAGGTGATGTAGTAACCAGGAATTGAACCTGGGTCAGATGCATGCAAGACAACCTTGCACTGTATCTCTGGCCGACCATCTTGACCATCTTGACAATCTCAAGAATGCCCAGTAAAGGGCTGGAGTGATAGCACAGTGGGTAGGGCGCTTGCCTTGCACGTGGCCGACCCGGGTTCGATTCCCAGCATCCCATATGGTTCCCTGAGCACCGCCAGGAGTAATTCCTGAGTGCCGAGCCAGGAGTTACCCCTGAGCATCGCTGGGTGTGACCCAAAAATGGAAAAAAAAAGAATGCCCAGTAAGTACCCCCTGAAGAAATAAGGTACCAGATACATACAAAGGGAGGAGCACAATCAACACAGATTCACTAGCATCCTGCACAGTGAAGAACGAACAACAGCTATGACAACTAATACTTAAAGAGTTTACTTACTCGGTCTCCCTCCCACAGACCATTAAACTCTGGAGGTGTGGGAGGAAAGGGCTGTGACACATGTCATGACTGCAAAATACCTGTGTTGAATCCTGGGGATGGTGTCTCAAAAATTATTTTCAAAACTCTAGGTGGGAAAAAAAAATCTAGGTGGGCTAGGTCTTGTTCACTGCTGCCCCCTAGCGCCTAGAACAGAATCTGACACACAGCACTCCCTCAATAAATCTGAGAATAAATAAGCACTTGGATAGACCACATACCAGGCACTACGCTAAGCTGGCATTTTAAATGCATAAGCCATCCTTATAGAGTAGATGTTATTCATTCCCAATTACAGAGTAAGGAACCAAGGCACAAAGAAATGAAATAATATGCCTAAATCACATAAAGTATCCACCACAGGAAAGCCATTTTAAAAGCAGAAGTAGGGAAAGGTAGTCAGAAAAGATGTGGGGTTGAGTCAAACTTCAATGAACCTATTTTGATTTCAGGCAATTCGATGTAAGTGTCAGATTCAAGAAATTCAAAAGTCAGAGAAGTAAAACCTTAGCGAATAGTGGTGGTGGAGGGAGGTGGGAGTGCTGTGGGGGGAGCCTCCCAAGAGGTCTTCAGGGAGGGGCCCAGTCTGCAGCAAGTCAGTGCTAAGACCCAGGATGACGCACTGCTTCGGCCCTGTGGTGCTTGGGATAACCTCCAACCACGCCTATGGTGTTTGGGGAGTCATCATCACCCATGCCTGCAGAGCTTCACCTGGCAATGCTCTGTGTGTGTGTGTGTGTGTGTGTGTGTGTGTGTGTGTGTGTGAGAGAGAGAGAGAGAGAGAGAAACTGGCATCAGGGGTGTGTGTGTGAAATCAGCATCAGGTGTGTGTGTGTGTGTGTGAGAAACCAGCAACAGAGGGGTGGTGTCAGCATCAGAGAGGTGTGTATGTGTGTGAAATTGGCATCAGGTGTGTGTGTGTTTGTGTGTGTGTGTGTGTGTCAAATCGGCATCACAGGGCGCGTGTGTGTGTGCCCGCCCAGTAAGGTGGTGCTGGGAGCTCCTCTCAGCTCTGTGCCAGGGGGTCTCTCGCAGCAATGCTCAGAGGACCACGGGGTGCCAGAGATTAAACCAGGCCTCCCATATGCAAAGCATGCACTCAGCCTCAGTTCTCTGCCCACTCAAAGTTTTTAAGGTCATCTAAAGATGGGTCTAGAAAGTTGACTGCTTTCAAAAAATTCCTCATTGTAACCAGTTGATTCCTGACTCTTAGAATCACCAAGTGTTGGTGAAGAACCAGTTACATTCACAGTCTGTCGCTTAGGGAGTGGCTCATTTATTAGGGAAACACCAACAAGGACAGCTGGAATCTCACAAGGGTGCCACTCTCACCCCAAATTCAACTGCCTGATAACTTGGTTCATTCTGGACTCCCAATGTCCCACTCACAGCAAGGATTTCACAGATTTCTAAGACCTTAGCGAAAACGAGGAGAGGAAAGAAGTTGGTGAAGTTTAGGAATCTGGCTTTCAAATGTCAAGCCAAGCTGTTAGATTAACCTGACAGTCCAAAACAAACTCACACTTCACTGCGTGTACCCACAATTGTCAGCTGCTCAGTGAGAAGAATGCAAAAAGGTCCAAATGTGGTCAATCGGAATGGAAAGCCCACACACTTGGAACCAAAGAACCAAGTTTAAGTTCCAGATGGACTCACTCTTAAGACCCACCGGGTCTGAACTTCCAGTCTGAGAAGCTAGAGGCAACTGTCGTTTGGACCTACGTTCATAATTTTCCATGAGCAATGAAAAAAAGAAAAAAAGAAAAAACCATGACGAGAATGTGTTGGGGTCTGCTGTTAAAGCCAGCTGGGGAGAGCTTTTTTGTTTTGTTTTGTTTTGTTTTGTTTTTGAAATAACTCTTAACTGTCCCAGGGTAGCGTCGGGAGGAAGCTGGAGCCGGGCGGTTTCGGGAACGGGGGTTCTGGGTTTCTGCGCTGCCCGCACGCCCTGGACAGCCCTGAAGCGACCCCCGACATCTCCTCCCTGGGACCAAACGACCCCTGCAAGCCCCTGGCCCTGCGCCCGCCTCCCGCCCCCCTCTCCCCCACGGCGCTGCTGGGCGCTCGCAGCCCAGTCGGCCAAGTCAGCTGCTGCCCAGCCGGCTGGGCTGCGAGAGAATCTCCACGCGGGGCAGGGGCTTCGTTTCTCTGCTCTCCACGCGATACTATCTGCCAGATCAAAAGACAAAAAAAATCCTAGATCCCTTCGGAGTACGGGGGGGGAGACCGAAGCAAAGTGGGGGAGGGAAGCGGTCAGCTGTGGAGGCCCGAATTCCCACTTCCGCTCACTGGCCCTGGACAGCTCTTCGGGCCCGTTTCCTCTCCGGGACACGTTCCCGGGGCGGCGCGGCCGGGCGCGGACCGCGGGCTCCCCGGGGCCGGGCCGGGGCGAGACCACCCGTGGGCTCCGGCACTGACCTTGAGCTCCTGGGCGACCTGGGCCTTCTGCCGGTACACGGAGTAGAGGACGGCGGTGACGACGGAGCTGGTGCCCAGAAGGATGAACTGGCCCAGCGACGGCCGCCCTCCGCTCTCCATGCCTGCGCCGAGCGCGTGCTGCCGCCCGGGACGCCGACGCCCGACTCCCGGATCCCACCCTTCGTCTCTCTACTCCGGCCCGCCCCGGCCCAACCGCACACCCCCACCCCGCCCCGCCCCGCCCCACGGCGGCTCTCCCCGGAAGTCCGCCGCGGACGCCAGGCGATGACGCAACCGGAACCGGAAGCCGGGCGGGGCCGGGGCGGGGAAGCCTAGCACACCGGAAGTCTCGTTGCCAGGGAGGTGGTGGTCCTCCTCGTGGGCCCTGGGGAGGTCTGGCAGCTCGTGGCTCTCTAGCTTTCATTACAAGCGGCGCTCGGGCCACCGGTCTCCCCGGGTTGTTGGGTGGGTTGGTGTCCCCCACCACTGAGATTGGGAGGAAAGGAGGGAATTGCTATCTCTATATATTTAAAAGTGCCTTTAATAGAAAGAAATGTCAAGGCCAAGAGCTTGGAAGTTGTGGACTCAGTTACCCTGCTAACTTAGCTCATTAGAAGTTGTGTGCTCAGTCACCTGCTAATTTGAGAGGAATTTACCAGACGCTGGAGTCCTCGGCCTCGGCTGCTAGAAGGATGATTTTACCGCTGAACTAGCCCCTGTTAACCTGCCATCACCGCCTATAACAGCTTGCTGCATATTAGCTAATAGCTACAGCTACATTTATTGAGTACGGTGTGCCAGGTACTGCAACAAAAAAGTTTTACAGACATTGTCCCTTTTAAAACTCTGAACTGTTGGAGAACAGATACAGATGAGAAAACTAATCTCAGGCTGGGCTTTTAAACATCGAGCTCAGAATTACCCAGTTGAAAGTGATAGATTAAATCAAATAGGTGCTTTGGATTTAAAAAAAAAAAAGGTTTTAAAACAAAAACTTTATTTTTATTTATTTGTTTATTTATTTGCTTTTTGGGTCACACCCAGCGATGCACAGGGGTTACTCCTGGCTCTACGCTCAGGAATTACCCCTGGCAGTGCTCGGGGGGACCATATGGGATGCTGGGAATCGAACCTGGGTTGACCGTGTGTAAGGCAAACGCCCTACCTGCTGTGCTATTGCTCTAGCCCAAAAAAATAAAAACTTTAGAGATAAAAATTTTATAAGTATATTTGGCAAAAAATAAAGAAGAACAGGGGCTGAGGATACCTAAGGTACATGCCTTCCCAGTTGATGCCAGGGTGAAGTAGCACTGTATCCTTGGGTCCTCTCAATGTATCGCTGGAATGGCAGCGTGGGGTCAGGCCCCTTCTTTCATCACCACTTGGGAGCACCCCCAAGAAAAGGGATGGTAAGAGGCTGCAAATACATGTGGTCCTTCAGAGATTTTTGACCTTTATGGTAACCTCAAATAATCAAGAGATATCCTAAATCTTTACAAAGCATATGTATTCCTCAGACTAACTCTAACAAGAGTGTGCTTTAAATTCTTGAAAATATAACACTAGACCCACCCGACAACATCAAGGCATACAAAAATGTATCTAAAAACTGTATATTGCTCCACAAAATTTAAATCTATTAGGGCCAAGGAGCTAGCTCAAAGGGCTAGCTTTGAAATATGTAGAAGTCCCAGATTCCATCCCCAACCCAGCACTGCATAGTCCCTGGAGCATTCCTGGGTGTGAACCCAAAAGGAAAAACATATATCAAATAAAGCAGCCAAATAGCCAGGATATTTTCCCACCCCATTGCCTAAATATGCTTAGGGTCAAACAAGAACTACTTTCAATGAACATGGAGTGAGAAGGTCCAATTGCCAACATTACCAGATATCAATGATGATTAATTTGTCATACACATGTATTTCAAATGAAATCTACCTTTTTAATCATATCTGTTAAAAGTTTGATAATACAACTTTTTCTTCCAAGTGCATGTTCTCTCTTGAGCATGTGTCTTTCTTTTTTTCTCCTCTGCCTTTACCCTCTCGGGAGAACTCTCTGTTCTCTCCTCCACCCAGACTATTTTGCTTCACTGAAAAAAAGCTTGATGACATACTGAGTTAGCAAAAGTATAGGTACAGAGACTCCTATATAATGTTCATAAGTGGAAATTGGATATTATTTGTGAAAAGCAAACCTGATCAAATGACCATACCCATTAACCTAGCAATCTAATTCCCATTAACCTAGCAATACAATTTCTAGAAATTTTTCCTACATGAATTTTGACAAATATAGAAGACTATTTATTATAGCATTTGGAAGGAGGGATGGTTTGGACTACACCTGGCTGTGCTCAGGGATCACTCCTGGAAGGCTCAGGGGACAATATGGGGGTACCAGGGATTGAACTTAGGTTGGCCACATGCTAGGCAAATGTTTGCCCTACTTGTTGTACTATTGCTCCCGACCCTGTGGTGTGTTATTTATTTATTTATTTATTCATTTATTTATTGGCTTTTGGGGTCACAGTTGGCGATAGAGGTTATTCCTGGTTCTGCACTCAGGAATTACTACTGGTGCTGCTCAGAAGACCATATGGGATGCCAGGGATCTAACTCGGGTAAGCCACGTGCAAGGCAAATGCTTTACCTGCTGTGCTATCACTCTGACACCTAAGCATGGTTTTAAAATTGGGACTGGAGTAAGTTCAACAGGCTTAGCACACACTTTGCATGCAAGAGAGGTTTATCCTGGTACCACAGGGTCCTCTAGCACCACTGGGAGCAACCTCTGTGATTGAGCTCAGGAGTAACAACTGAGCATGCTCAATATAGTTCAAATAGAATAATGTAAACAAATAACACAACTGAAATATTCTATATCCAATTATTTAAATTCAAAAATGTCTATGTGAGCATAGTAAATTGATAAAGCAAGTTGGAAATTGAGTATGGTTCCATTTATTTAAGATGATTGTGGCCCTTCTATCTGTATTGTAAGGCCTATGAATGCTGCCAGGAAGAAAAGGTCCCCCGCCCCTGATTGAAAATGAAGAACGATGCTGATGGTGAGGTGAGATAACTGTGTATACCAAAACCACAGTCATCACCACTGCGAACACATCTCCATACCCATAATAATTGTTTTACTTAAAGGTAAAGGGATATACATGATAACCTTTCAGTCCTGTATTGCAAACCATAATGCCCAAAGGGAAAGAGGGAGTGAGAGTGCAAGAGAGAATAAGAAGAAAAATGTCTACTGTAGAGGGAGACTGGGCATGGGGGCTAGAAGGAGGGAAACTGGAGACATCGGTGGTGGGAAATGTACACTGGTGAAGGGACAGGCGTTTGAACATTGTATGACTAAATCCCAATCATGAACAACTTTGTAACTGAGTATCTCAAGGTGATTTAATTTAAAAAAATTTTACATAAAATGAATGAATTCCTATGTTTATGTATTTTTACCAGATTCATAAAAAGCTGATGATATTGGTTATTTCTGAAGAAGACATTTGGGTCGCTAGAATTTTCCCTTCAGAGGGTCCCTAACACAGTAACGGTTAGGAATTATCTAGTGAATTCAAGACATTTTAGATGAGCATTTATCTCATGCGTGTATTCTCTCAGGAACAGGGAAAAAGTGTAGGGCATGCGCCTGATCTGCTGAATTTAGTAAGGCGGGTGCGTTTGGCTTATTATGGTTTACACCTCACCTATCTGTAATAAGAATCAGAAATGACATATATCAGAAATGAAATATATAATAAAACTTGTATGTTTCAAATTAATATAGAAATCAACTAGTAACAAATGCCAGCTTGAGGGAGCAGAGCAAAGCACGTAGGACAAATTTCTCACTGCAGCTGGGCACCTTCTTTGTGAGTTTCCCAGCAGCCATGGCAAGAAGGAAATATGTTAGGGCACAATCTGATAGAGAAGACAGGGCAAACATCTGGAAGATTATAGTTTGGTGGTTTGTGAAAAATAAGAGAACAAAAAATTGCACAGAAGTCCATCAGCCATTCCTGCAGATGCTGCTAGCCTCATAAAAGAATGTAGGCTTAGAGGAGTACCCCAGGATGGTGAACTACTCTCTGTCTCTGTCTCTCTGTCTGTGTAAACTCACACAAAAGGGCACAGCACACAGTGGCGGTGGCTCTATCTCTCCCGCCGCCCGCGTTCGGTAGTCTCACCCTTCTCCCACCCGGGGAGGTCTATGGCGATGGTCAGGCGGAGGAAGGAATGAGGGCCAGGCTGGTAGGTATTAGTCGTAGTTTATTCTGATTCTCTCCTCATCTGTCTCTGCTCCCCTATGCCCCATCTACAGTCTCATTATATCTCTCTCCAAGAGGAATTGGGGGAACAATTACACATAGGTGCAGTCACAATCAACAGGGGTAGAAATCAATAGGGGTAGAAATCTTAGCCTCAGGGAAGGCCGCTCCTAGGACAGATCCTTCCTCAGCAGGAGGACCCACCCTAGAGCAGAATCCCATGGGTGTGCCTCTCCTCTCCTTGTCCGACAAGCATATAAGAATATAATATAAATCATTTTGTATGGATACAGTAAGAAATATCTTAAACTTATAGAATTGCTCTCCTAGGGCCATCTCGATCTCAGACTACGGTGCTCAGGCCAGATAGTCTTTCCCACCCCTAGCAGGATCCTAGTCTTGTCGTTACCTTTGGATCATGACAGCATTTGTCTATGATCAAACTCTTAACTTATAGTTAAGAATCGTGGCACTTTGGCCTGGCCCATTTTGCTGCCAGGGTAGCTCACCGCTTGCCCTGGGTCCATTCAGTCCCTCGTCGGGACCCTGCTTTTGGGGTGTTAGGAACTAAGGGCAACTGAGGCTTAAGTCGAGAAAGCAGATGCCCGGGAGTGAATAATATTCAAGGCCAATCAAATCCTAAGTTACAAAGCATAATGTTAACGGTCTTCCTGTATCTATACAAAAAGGATATTACTTTAAAGTAAACTGTTCATAAGGCATACGGAGAGGAGAAAGGCAATATTTCACTCATACATATAAAATCATAGGTTTCTGGGAAACTGACCTTACAAATTAACAAAGTCTGATTAAGGGGAAAGCTGATTAACTGGGTGGGAAGGAGAGCATAGGGAAGACTGTTTACATGTAAACACAATGGAAGTGGAAGTGCCTCTGGAGCACTGTGATGGGTGTAACCAAATTAATGGGTGTAACCAGATTAATGGGTGTAACCAGATTAATGGGTGTAACCAGATAAACCTAAACTTCTTGTGGAAGGACAAAGCAATGTTACCCTACATCTGTCTCTCAGTCTCTCTGTCTCTTTCTGTCTCTGTCTCTGTCTCTCTCTGTCTCTCTCTCTCTGTCTCTCTCTTTTCTTTGGACCTCTTAAAAACTGGTCAAAGTTTCCAGGAGCAAGATGAGAGACCTGGTGAAAAGCAAATGCCAGGGCTGGAGATACAGTACAGAAGTTAAGGTGCTCCTGTTCAAAATAGCCAAAATCTGGAAACAACCCAAGTGCCATAGAACAGATAACTGGTTAATGAAACTTTGGTACATCTACACAATGGAATATTATGCAGCTGTCAGGAGAGATGAAGTCATGAACTTTGCTCATAAATGGATAGACATGGAGAATATCATGCTAAGTGAAATGAGTCAGAAAGAGAGGGACAGACATAGAAGGACTGCACTCATTTGTGGAGTATAAAACAACATAACATGAGGCTGACACCTAAGGATAGTAGAAACACGGGACAGATAGATTGCTCCATAGCTGGAAGCCTGCCTCATGAGCAAAGGGGAGAAGGCAGCTGGAATAGAGAAGGGATCACTACGAAAAAGATGGCTGGAGGAGTCAGTTGGGATGGGAGATGTGTTCAGAAAGTAGATAAAGGACCAAACGTGATAACCTCTCAGGGTCTGTATTGCAAACCATAATGCCCAAAAGTAGAGCGAGTTTATGGGGAATCATGTCTGCCAGGGAGGCAGGGGTGGGTGGGAAAGGGGGAGGGGAAAACCGGGGATATTGGTGGTGGGGAATGTGCACTGGTGGAGGGATGGGTGTTTGACCTTTGTGTGATTGTAACCCAAACATGAAAGCTTGTAACTATCTCAGAGTGATTCAATAAAATTTTTTTTAAAAAGAAGTTAAGGTGCTCATCTTTCACACAGCTGACCCAAGTTTGATCCCCTGCACCCTAAGAACTGTCCCAAAGTAGTTTCTGAAATCAGAGTCAGGAGTAAACCCTGAGTATAGCCAAATGTGGTCCAAATACAGAAGGAGAAGGGAAAGGGGAAGGGGTAGGGGGAGTGGGAGGAAAGAGGGGGAGGGATGGGGGAGGGAACAGGTTGGGGAGGAGGGTAAAGAGATCTGTGAGGCTGGAGGGTGAGCCTGGGCCTCACCAGCAGTGCAGAACACAGAAGGGTGAGCCTCTAATTACAACTCATTACCCTGCTTGCTGAGGCTTCTCAAAGCCATGAGTCAGGAACTATCAGTTTCTTTTTCTTAGTGGTTTTGTTAACCTATAATTCAACGCATGGATTTAAAGTGTACAACTTGACAGATTTTGTCATATGTATTCACTCATGAAACAGCACAGACTCGTTACCTCAAAATGTTTTCTAGTGTACGCTGATGAAGTGAGGGGTGTTAGAACATTATATGACTGAAACCCAATCATGAACAACTTTGTGACTATGTATCTCACTGAGTCGATTAAAAAAAACTTTTAAAAAAATGTTTCCTAGCACCCCTTGGTACTTTCTCTCTCCTCTCCCACTTGCCATACTCCCAGGTAACTATCACTATCACTTTGTCTGCACTTTCTAAAAGTTTATATGGACCAGTAGAGTTGTGCCATATGCACTCTCTTTGGCTATTTTCACTCAGAAAAAGTATTTGAGGGTAGGAGAGATAGTATAAGCAGTATAAGTATAAGAGATAGTATAAGATATTTGCTTTGCATGCAACTGACCTAGATTTGATCCCCAGCACCACATATGGTGCCCCAAGTCCTTCCAGGAGTGATTTTGTGCACAGAGCCAGGAGTAAGCCTTGAGAACTGCATGGTGTATCCCCAAAAAAGAAAGAAAAAAGAAAGTAATTTTAGATTCATACATATTGCATGTGTCAAAAATAATCTGTCCCTTTATCATTACCAAATAGTATTTCATTGTAACTATCATCACACGGCTCCAGAATACTTTCAACTCCTGTTGAGGTGCAACCCATGGAGGTATTTCTCCTGTGGCAGAGCTCAGAGAAACTCGATGACCGGGAGTGGCACAAGCTATACCCTGATACTTTGGATTGCTGGCTTGCATAGCTGGATGTTCGAGAATGTCCACAGGCACCGAGTTCATCGGGAACAGAGGCACTCTTTGCTGAGCGATCTCCAATTCCAAGATGGATTTTGAGCGTCTTTCTACCTTTTCTATCTTCTTCCAGCGATTCCGACTCCCCGGCGATTGGCAAAGACATGGACGTTGAGGGAGGCTTTTTAAAACCTGGGTCACCAGACATCAGCTGCATACTGATCAGAACTTTAAGAATGGAATTATCCTGTCTTGTATTTTTGGTATCATAGCCTTCCAGTAAACAGCGACGAGTGGCGTTTCTTGATCCAGCAAACTCGGCCAGGTTTAGATCAGCAAAGCCCAGCTTGGCATAAGCTTTTCCACCTTTTAATTCCTTTCTCACAGATACTCTGTAGACACAGGGGTCCAGGATGCCTGTAGTGGCACTTGCTCTCATTTTGCACATAAATGAGAACTTCTTCCTCCAATGAACACAGTTTGCCTGCACCACCTCTCTGGGGGACTTGGCCGTGAAGCTGCCGCCGTCCAGCAGCCGCATCTTGCAGAAGAGCACCCCGTTGACGAAGGGCACCGAGGAGAGCTCCTCGAGCTCGAAGTCCACCTTAAACTTAAACTTCTTCTTCTTCATCATCATGACAGCCAGACGCCTATATCGCCAATTGTTTATAAATTGACCTGTTGATGAGCATTTAAATTGTTTCCGGATTTTAATAATCCTGCATAAAGTTGCTTTGAACATTCATGTACAAGTTTAGGTAGGGACTCATGCTTTCAATTCCCTTGGGTAGATTCCTAGGTTTCAATGTATATCCACTTGGTAGAAGCATATGTCCCATCTCTAGACAACTTTGCTGGAGAGTTAATACAGGAGGTAAGGTTCTTGCCTTGCACATAGCCATTCCCTGATCACTGAAAAATATAGATTATAGAGAAGGGATCACTAAGAAAATGATGGCTTGAGGAACCAGTCGGGATGGAAGATGTGTGCAGAAAGTAGATAAAGGACCAAAGATGATAACCTCTCAGTGTCTGTATTGCAAACCATAATGCCCAAAAGTAGAGAGAGATTATGGGAAATCATGTCTGCCCTGGAGGCAGGGGGAGGGTGGGAAAGGGGGGGTATACCAGGTATATTGGTGTTGAGGAATGTGCACTGGTGGGGGGATGTGTTTTTGATCATTGTGTGATTGTAACCCAAACATGAAAACCTGTAACTATCTCATGGTGATTCAATAATTTTTTTTTAAAAAGTATAGATTCTGAGCACTGTCCAACACTCTCCCCTCAAAATAAATAAATGAATTTTAAAGAATCTGACAAACAGTATCTGAGTGGTAAAGTTATTACTTCGTTTTACATTCCCATGAGCAGTCTATAAGCATTTCCAATCCACCGTGTGTGCACCAACATTTGGTGTGAGCCGCCCTTTGGTTTTGGAGAATAGTGTTCCAGAGCATTTCCTCATGGTTTTAGTTTGTGTTTCTCTAATGACCAATAACTATATGACTATTATTGCTACCCACATACATTTATGAGTAAAACATTTGCTCAAATTTTTTCTCTACTTTTTAAACTGGGTTGATTTGTTCTTTCATTATTGTGAGTCTTTAAAAATGTATTTTGAGTATGTATCCTTCCTCAAATGTGTGATCTGCAAATATTTTCTTTAATATTGTGGTGCAATTTCTCCTAAATGATCTCTGTTTAGGGGCATGGCACACCTGGTGGTGCCCAGGGCTTAATCTTGGCTCTGCCCAGGATCATTCCAGAGGGAGCTCAGGGGATCTACATATGGTGCCAAACTGGAGTCAGTTGTATGCAAGACAAGCACCTTTCCCACTGTACTATCTCTCGAGCCCTTACATTAACTTTTAAAGAGGATCTGTTCCTAGTTTGTATAAACTTTGCCTAAAATCACAAAGATTTTCTCCTAGGTTTTCTTCAAACAGTTCAGTTCATAGTTTAACATCTTACAGTTAGTTCTACAATTCACTCAGTTAATTTTATCTGTGTTGTACCAGGCATCACCTCATGCCATTCTCTTTCTCTTATTTTTTTTTTTCTTTTTGGGTCACATCCAGCGATCCACAGGGGTTACTCCTGGCTCTGCACTCAAGAATTACTCCTGGCGGTGCTCAGGGGACCATATGGGATGCTGGAAATCAAACCCAGGTCGGCTGTGTGCAAGGCAAATGCCCTACCCACTGTACTAGTGCTCCAGCCCCAACCTCATGCCATTCTCTCGTCTTCCTACATAAGGATTATTCTATCCCCATTTTACAGATGGGAAAGCTGAGGATCAGTGAGGTGACATTGAAGGGCTTACTCAACTTCATCTTCCTCCAGGACTTAAACACAAGATTACAGAAACTTTTCATTGGTGTAGGCCCTAGAAGCACATTAGTGATAGACAAATCACCATTTCCCACCCTGAATCATGTACATCACTCCGACTCAAAGATTTAGTCCAGGACAGCAGCTGGGAGCAGCTGGTATGAAAGCCAGGACTCCTGGCCTTTAATAGTGGGTCAAGTGAATTTACCAATGGGAAAAATGGGAAATAATTTGTAAAGTCATCTCTGGGTCTCCTGCGTGCCATGTTAGTTCCATAAGTTCTGGCGTTCTCCTGTTGCACTTGCAGTCAATGCTGCAGTGGACACTTTTAACCACAAGGTGGGGGGCGTGGAGCACAAGATGTAGAAAGCACACCACCGACAGGGCTTGGCTGGGGAAGGAAGACGCAGGGAACACAAGGCTCTGGAGATTTACAGGAATCGGTCCAGTGAGAGTGAGCCCACACTGGGCTGTACCTAGTGACTAAGCCTCAGGCTTGCTCTTTCAGGCCCTGTGACTATCACTTGATGCCACCGTCACCTCTAACACTGCCTGGGATTTTCCTTATTCACAGCACCCGGTGGTCAAGTTAAGACACTTACTTGTACAAGGAAAGGGCGAACTGGGTTTTTTTTTTTTCTCCTATTTTTGTTTGCTTGTTTGTTTTTAAACTATACCCAGAAGTCATGACTGTTGGGGGGGCAGAAGATACTCAGGGTCATTCCTGGCTATAATGAGGGGTGACTCCAGCTCAGTGCCCAGAAAAGCATGCAGTGTGTTCTGGGGATCAGACCCAGGCCTCCCGCATGCAGAACATGAGCTCCGGTCCACTGGCTTCACTCTCTGGCCCCAGCGAGGGTACACTAGGACAGACATAGGAAAGCCACCCTCTGTGTCCCAGTCCAGCTCGGTCATTCACTCACTGTGTGGGCTCAAGCCCCAGCCCCTTCCTGAGTCTGTCCCCTCTCTCAAGTGGGCAGATGACAGCAGATGATTTTCCAGGTGTCTTCCAGCTAAGATTCTATTCGAACTACTGAAAATTCAAGAAATAAGTCTTCTTTCACTTGGTACTGGGCAAGCTGTTCTACTATCTGTCTTCCTTTTTTTTTTTTCTGAAAAAGTGGACTTCATGCAAGACTGCAGTAGGCCTAGATATGCTGCTATGTGAAATGGTTGCAGATTTCTTAAGAACTTTTTGCCCTTTACGTATTATCAGTGATCTTGTGCTGTGAAACACAGGCAAACAAGTAATGAGTGTTAGCAATTGTTTTTAGAGGGAGGGGTTGGGCCACCCCCAGTGGTGCTCAGAGCTTTTTCCTGGATCTGTGCTCGCGGAATCACTCCTGGGGACTCTGCAGTGCAGGGAATCAAAGCAAGGTCAGCCTGTGCAAAAGAGCACCTTACCTAATGTACTATCTCCCTGTCCTCAACAATTTTTGTTTGTTTCATTTGGGGGGCCATACCCAGAGGTGTTCGGCGCTTACTACTGACTCTACTGGGACTCTCTGGGGTTACTTCTGGCAGTGCTTGGAAGATCAGACACAGTGCCAGGAATCAAATCTGGGCTGGCCTCATGCAAGGCAAATGCCCTATCCACTGTACTATCTCTTTACCCCAGTTCTTGTTTTGAAACCAGTTGGATCAGCTTAATGTCATATGGTAGGTTAATAAAGTTTTTGAGAAAAATGTTTACAGTAGTCCACAATAAATAAATGTATCCGTAGCACTGCACTGTACTCCCATTGTTCATCAATTTGCTCAAACGGGCACCAGTAACATCGCACAACAAATTGTGAGACTTGTTTTTACTGTTTTTGGCATATTGAATACGTTACGGGTAGCTTGCCATACTTTGTCATGTGGGCAAGATACTCTCGGTGGCTTGCCGGGCTCTCTGAGAGGAGTGGAGGAATCGAACCCAGGTCGGCCATGTCAGCCGCATGCAAGGCAAATGCCAAAAGTGTCTTCGGCCATACCACCCTGAACGCACCCGATCTCGTCTAATGGCTATTAAATAATATTCTGACATAAAAGATATGCAGTTCTGGGGGTATGGTGCCACCAGCAGGTCAATCTGTACCTGTGAGGTGAGTGCATCAGCAGCCTGATGGCGCCTTCAGACTTCCAAATACCTCAAAATTGCTGCTGTGCCTTTGGCCAGACCCCAAAAACTTGGGGCAAAGTTTACCAAGAAAGTAAATGGCCAAAAGTTAGGTATGTGGGAGACACACCCACAAACCACCTCCGGCTCAGCTATATAATTGGAGGCATGGCCTCTCTGGTTCCTGATGGAACTGCTTAATGGCCATGATCCCAGAGACTCAGAAATGAATCTCGAAACCCAGCGGCTTTTGGCTTTTCCCAGGTGGGAATAGGTTTTGTACCTTGGCCTGTTCCCCGTGGCGGCCCGGTGGCTGTCATCCTCCAGAGGCCACTGGACAGTCAGGTTTGGGCCCTCAGTGATGAGACACATACAGTCTCACGGGATGGGGGTGGAGCCGGCCCTTTCCTCCCCATCCCAACGAGACCCCGAGTCACCGCCCACGAAGTGCCTCTCTGACTCCTGATCAAGCTGCTTAATGGCCATGATCCCAGAGACTCAGAAACAAATCTCGGAACCCAGCAGGTTTTAGCAGAAATCCCTCCAGATTTAATTGTTAAAATTTTGGAATTTCAAAATCACGTGGCCACTACTGCAGCCAAGTGACATCATATGTTATTCATAACCAGCAATAGAAAACAAATTGTCTACTGTTGCCTTTTTGGCAGATCTGAGTGTTAGGGTAAAATCCCAAATAATAATGGTGGGTCTGGTGTCAAAATATTGAATGTAATAAAAGGAGAGAGAGAGTAATGTGGAAATTATCTGCCCCACAGGTAGGGGGTGAGTGTGGGTTGGGAGTATACTGGAGTTTTTGGGTGTGGTGAATGGGCACTGGTGAAGGTACGGGTGTTTCATTGTATAACCGAGACTTAAACCCGAAAGCTTTGTACTGCTCTCATGGTGATTCAATAAATAAAATTATAAAAAAATGAAAAAAAAGTAAGGTGGAGTTCATGCCCAATTCAATCAGCTAATCAGTGGCTGAATAAATAGCAGTACTCCTACATTAAGAAAAAAATATGCAGTTCTGAGGATAAAAACATTATACTGAGGCTAGATAATAATAATACTGGAGACATTTGCTAAGTTGTACTACACAGGCACTCCTTATGCATTTTACAAACATAATAATAAACCTTTGATTTGAAGGGACTTGGGGGGGCAGGTCATCTGGCCACACCTGTAACTATATACTTATGTGTA